AAGTTTCTTTGGATGGTATAATAAACCCCAAATACACAGATGAGTCGACGGTCGAATGCAAAACTAAATTTTCAAATTATAAATCTACCGTTATCCTTGTAGAACTGCAATATGAAGCAAATAGCACCTTACCAGGTATGTATCAACATATCCTGTAGTACTATGAAACTAAATTGAAACTCAAATTATCTTTATTTCATAGGTAAGCATTTCTTTCGTAAAGGTAGAATTCCGATGTTGGCGACCATGGCGATCGGCGACTGCGATTACTATGAATTCATATCGAGCCCTGAGCAAAACAAGCGACCGCGTCTCGCGAAATTCTGGGCGTGGCTAGCAAGTGAGGCTAGCTCCGTTCATTCTGAACGTTCCGTTTGTTGACGACGAACTCTTAAGGTAGCATTCCGATGTTGATGACCACGGCGACTGGCAACAGCGACTGGTGGTCGCATTCCTGGTCGCCTGTCGCCTGGTGACCAGTAGCTTACGGATCCAAGCGATCGCGACCGACCAGTCTTCTCACGGTATTTAATATAATCGATTGTATTCTGGTGCTTAATACAATTATGTCGAACTATTAATCCACAACCAGAATAAAAGTTAAAAGTTAAGAAAACGAAGACGACAATACACTAATTTTGCCAATTTCTTTCTTAATTAATTTATTTCTATATCTCTCGAATGGTAACCTATCACAAACTCGATTTTTTTTCCGAAATAGCGTTTGTTTGAATTTTCATTACAAGACACAATTAGGTTAGGTTAGGTTAAGGTAGGTTTAAAAGAAAAAATATTGGAAAATGTAATTTCAGACTACTGATAGGTAACCCTCTCGAATCATATAGGGTGGGTTTTTAGACACTAAATCTCGAAACTCGTCTATTCAGAAAAAAATCGTCAATTAATAAAGATTACGTTACAGTGGAGAGTAGACCGAGTCTGGAAAATGCGATTCTGTTCAAAATAAAAACAAACGACAGCGGCGATTTTTATGACACCAGTGCGAACATCACCGTCAAGGAGGGACCGTTAATGGTCAAGATTTCTGGGGACTATGACAAAGTGGATCATTTTTGGTAAGTTTTCGTCTCTTATTTTAACCAAAGCCAGTGTCAAAGCTTACTTGTGTCGTTATCTGTGACCTTATTGCTACCTCCTAAAGTAGGTCAACGAAAGCCTTTCTATAAATGTCACATTAAATGTATGGGAGCGTTTATGAGTCGATACTAGCCGGCCGAATTCAAGTTTTTCTTGTATTGAATCGGTTCTATTGCGCGAGCCGAGAGGCAGGAACGCTGGAAATATTTCCGATTATTTTTACAAACGTAATGACAGCCGTTTGACAAATGTATATCGTACACTATACGTATTCTATTTAGTATGTACAGTAACTATTGTGTTCAGCTGTTTTCTTGTAAATTTTCGAGTTAACTTTGTATTTTTTTTTCTATCGTGAACATTGACTTACAAATAAATGGACGACGGGTCCAATACAAAAACCACGAAAAAAATGTCCCAAGTCAACCTATTTAAACGTAGTGACATGTAAAGGAATATGAAAAAGCTAAAACGTTAGATTTAAATTGTAATGTCATCGCAGTACTGTCTAATTTTGCTTGCTTCGCTGTCATTCGAACAAACGAAGACTAAAGCGTGAATGACGCTCTGTATACGATTTTAACGCCCTATAAGTTCGAACACTTTTTAGCGCGGACCCGACGTCCATATAATTGTAAGTCAATATATTATTTAAATAAAATAATTTTAATTTTTAATTAAGTCAAATATTTTTTACGGATCGTATATCTTCAATTGTACTATATATTTTTCCAAGGTGATTAATTTAACACTGTCACTGTTATGCCGAATCAATCAAAGCCTTTTGAGGTTGTATCGACTGTTAACGTTAAAATTTTGGATAATTCTATTTATTTAAAAAACAGTTATTGATGTCGGTTTACTTACTAGGTAACGTATTTTCAATATCAGATAGGTTTTTGGTGCCTCTTATGTTAGACACCATCCTGTACATAACTGTGGTAGCTCAATGATTTGACTTTTTTTTTATAATATCAACTGACGGTGAAGCTACACGCCTGTCCATAACAGTTGCAGTGCCACTCAGAGCCTTAAATCGCAAAAATCTGGGAGACACTGCCACTGCGCCAGTCACCCTGAGACTTTGACAAGAGTCATGTGCCTGTAATTTCACCAGCACCCTTACCCTTTAAAACCCGAACACAGTAATGCTGACATTACTGCTTAGCGGCAGAAGTATTTCCCTGGACGAATACTACTACAGGATCTAGACCTACTGCTTCTCAAGCAACGGGACCTTGGGTTCGGATCCGGGCTTGCACCTCTGAGTTTTTCGGAATTTATATGAAATTCACTGTGAGCTTTTCGGTGAAGGAAGACATTGTGATGAAATCTGCACGTCGAAAAAGGTTCACAACACTCGGAAAACATTTAAAGTGTTCAACCCGCATTGGGCCAGCGTGGGGGACTATAGCCTAAACCCTCGCCTGAGAGAAGACCCACGCCCAATAGTGTGACGTATAAAGGGGTTGACAGTGGTGAATATGTTATCCTTTACAGGATTTTACTTACGTAAAATAATAATAATGTACGTTAATACGTTTCAGGTGTCAAAACATTATAGACAAAGAAGGTGAAAATCCTAAGGTATTTTTCAGTAAAGCAGATTTTTCAGAATACGAAAATCCAAAAGAAGCTATAGCTATTGTAGTAAGTATTTTGTATATAACATAATTTCAACGATCTAAATATAACGAGTCCAAATATTAGCTCCATCTTCAACTTTAATATTGGTTTTATATTGGCATCGAGTATACGTATAACCAGAAATAACACGAAATATAATTGAATTTGTTTGAAAACCATTCCGCCAAATCATTACGGTGACAACTGCGTTCCGGTTGACCAGCTCGAATTCGAAACTATTGACGGGTGTCGACAATTGTTTCACTTCAAATCGACCAGTTTAACTTGAACTTTGCTATAATGGAGGACAATTTAAAAATTACATATTTAATATTTAATTGCCGATGAAATGTGATTCCGTTTGTTTTGTAATTAGATGTTTTGCTGTTTTTCCCACGCCACCGAATGGAACAGCCCCCCACAGTTAGAAATATTATATTTATTACAATAAATACAGAATATTTTTGGAATGTACGGAGACGTACACTCAGGTCAGTTGTTGACGCTGTACAATTTCAGCTTTCTAATTTGTGATTTCAGTGCAAACGAGAGTTGACATTTAAAAGTGATATAAGGCCTTTATTTCGTCTCTATTTCTGGTTATATACTCGACGTATATTGGTTTTCCAGTCCTATTCCTATCGGTATTCAAATTTCAACCAAGACTTTAATAGTTTTATGTTCACTGAATAGAGATACACGTATGTAATATCAGAAATCAATGTTTTTTTCCCCAAGTCCAGTTTGATCGAAAAATTTTGTTTTCGTTTCTTGAATAAATCTATTACTTACCTTGTTACAGCATACCAAACATTTATATGGAAATAACACGCCATGGAATTGTACCCTGCTTACGCGGAAAGACGCTCAGATACATAAAAATAATTTATATGTTTATGATAACGCGTCTTATTCAAAAATAGAATGGAAGGCAGCAGTCCATATTGTTGGTAAGTTATTCTTATATCCTTAAAAGGAGACTCCGGTTACTCTTATTGTAAAATCAAAAGTGTTAAGGAAATAAACAATCATAAGAAGTATTAATAACCATGTAACTGTATTCGCCTTTAGGTTAATTATCTGTTAATACAATAAGTAGTGTATTAACAAAAAAGTTTTTCAGAGGAAATGAAACTATTTTTCCGGATTTAAATCGCGTATATGTGTCACGGACATGGTCACGGTTGACTATGGGACCTGTAAAAGGCCCGATACGTCGGTTTGTTTGAAAAAACAAATATACGCGATTTAAATCCGGAAAAATAGTTTCATTTCCTATGTGTAACAATCGCGAAAACCTCGATAAGTTTTTCAGAATCGATGAAAAACGAATTACTCACTTGCCGTGATAGATTAATAAAATTTAAAAATCAAATAATCATAGGTTAAACTTTATAACAGAGATCTAAGCCATTTCCTACTTGCGAAATATGAAAGGGAAAAATAATTTCGTACTTTTGAATAAGGATTGCTTTGTCCAGAACATCGAGTATATAACCAGAAATAGAGATGAAATAACGGCCATCCATCCCTGGTAATTCATCAGGCAAATGGGCCTTATATCACTTTCAAATATCAACTCTCGTTTAAGCTGAAATCACAAATTAAAAAGCTGAAATAGTAAAGCGCCAACGAACAGAATATTTTTGTATATACGTCTCCGTATATACAAAAATATTCTGTATTTATTGTATTAAAGATAATATCTCTAACAATGCCGTGCTGTTCTATTCGGTGGTGTGGGAAAAACAACAAAACATCGAATTACAAAACAAACGGAATCACATTTAATCAACCTGCTAATTCATTACTCAACGAAGAATAGGTTTTAAATAAATTAAATGACATTTCGTCTCTATTTCTGGTTATATACTCGATGGTCCAGAACTTGCTGACAAAAAGATTCTCTCATTTTGTAAGTAGATTTTTTTTTCTTCTTTTTTATTGAGGGACAAACAGTTACACACATATAAAAAAATACATATTTTAAAATTAACTTATAAATAAACCCACAGTCCCCTAAATGTACATTAAATAAAACAAAAAGTAGGTAAACAGACAATCTGATACACAATAAACAACACGGAAGAAATAAAAAAGTATGTATGTGGTCTATGATAAACAATTTCAAGTCATGAATAGATATAGCCACAGACATATAGACATAACACATACAACACAAAGAACACGTGCACAGGAACAACGGAACAGAACAAACATATTCAGCAAATGCGTATTTCGTCTTCCGAACACTGCAAGAGTGCACACAGAGGTAACTCGCTGCGCTCAGGACCGGTCGTGTCATTACGTAACGGAACACAAGTCGTAATTGAATCGAAAAATAATTATTAACAATGCGTATATATATATATATAATAAGTATGTATATATAATAAGAAGATATATTTTAATTGTTTCTTACTATATCCTAATGACGGTTGTACTGACTCCTAGAGAATCAAATTTTACATTCAACAATAGTATAATCTCGAATTTCACATATTTTGAGCTACAAAACTATTGTATTGTAATTTCATATTAACAGGTACAGTAGAGTAAAAATAATAAACTTAATTTTCAGAAGAGACACCAGAAAACATGCTGCTCTTTAAAATGAAGGACGACAACACTGGATGTGAAATTGAGAAACCAGCTTTTAGCTTTACAATTAAAGAGGACAGCACAATAACGGTGAAGATTTCAAATGCTAATACCAATTTTTATAAATTTTGGTGAGTTTTTAAGTTTAAGGCGAGGTATTTCAAAGTGTTTTAGAGACGAAGTGTGTTGAAGGCCGCGCGCAGAAAATTAATATATTGTTACATAAACACAGGCGGAAAAACTTCACACAGATCGGACGTTGACAAAAGTCCGATGACAACTGACGGATGTCGTTAAGCCGTTGTGCAATTTTCAGGTTTTGGGATAAAAGTGAATTTAACAACTCTAGTTGAAAACCAAAACTCCACATGGAAATGATGTTTGATATTTTAATCTTAAATAATTCGTTTCATACTTTTATTTTAACCCGTGTTCTGGATTTTATATGATCGAGTAAAGTACATACTATCGTGTAGCAAATTAGCACATTCAATAACAATCGAAAAATCTTTAGGTGTATCGTATATTTTTTGTAAGACTGTTATTTAATAATAAATACCTAAAATCATCGAGTATATAACCAGAAATAGGGACGAAATGTCATTTAATTTGTTTGAAAACTATTCTGCCAAATTATTACAGTGACAACTGCGCTCCGATTGGCCAGCCCGAATGCGACCACTTGAGCTTTGCTATAATTGACTAAAATCGCAAAATACATATTTAATTACCGATGCAATGTGATTCCGTTTGTTTTGTAATTAGATGTTTTGCTGTTTTTCCCACACCACCGAATGGAACAGCCCCCCATAGTTAGAGATGTTATCTTTATTACAATAAATACAGACTATTTTTGGAATATACAGAGACGTACACACAGGTCAGTTGTTGGCGCTGTACTATTTCAGCTTTCTAATTTGTGATTTCAGCGCAAACGAGAGTTGATATTTAAAAGTGATATAAGGCGTATTTGCCTGATGAGTTGCCAGAGTAGGATGGCCCTTACACCGTCTCTATTTTTGGTTATATACTGCCCAAAATGCATTTGATTTAGCAATACAGTTTTTCTCGCTTCTCGGTGCGTCGCAGCGTTATTTTGCATATTTCTTATATATTTTTTATATTTATTTCTGTTTCCATAAGTATTATAGAAAATAAGACTATGTCTCAAAGCAATTCTTCATCTCAGAGAACACCTGAGCCTATCAAAAAGACTTGAATGAGTTGATAAGAGCGAGGTATTCCACAACGTGGCAGCTGACCGCAGATGACTTTGTATCATCGTGTTGCCACGAATCAATTTGAGGCATGTGCTGGTCTGTCGCTGTAACCGACTTTACTTTTAGAGTTTACTTGAGTCTATACGACCTCAAATGGATTTGGTTGCCTCCGCATAACAGTCAAAGTGTTGAATCAATGGCTTTGGAAAAATATATATAGTAAAATTCATTACTATGAGGTGTGAAAACACGATTGCTAAAAATTTTGACGATAGGAAAAAAAACACAAATTTACCTCGAAATACAAGAAAATCTTTTTGTATTCAATAGGTACTTTACATATACTAATGTTTTTTTGTTTTATTATATCAACTGAACTAAATAGGACACGTGTACTTATACAACATATGTACTATGCCAGTGTCTCTGTCGTACGACATAAGCAAAATGTCCTTATTAGTACGGGAAAATTTTGAATTCCAGCTGGGGTAGATCGACTCCTAAGGTAGTGTTTATGCTTTAGAAAAGTGCCAAAGATTTTCATATTTTTTTATGTTTTAAAGTCCTAAATTTGCATTTAAAATAAAAGATCTCCGTGGTCGAGTGGCTTGCGTAGCGGTTTTCATGGTATCGCCATCACCGAGATCCCGGGTTCGATCCCCAGCCGGGTCAATGTAGAAAACGAATTTTACTGTATTGTCTCGGGTCTGGGTGATGAAACAAATAATAAATAAATTCTATTTAATGGCATTGTATTCTTTTTCAGGTGTGAAAGAGATACAAATAGCACAAGTAACACCAAAGTTTTGGAAGTAAATTTGACCTTATATTTCGTATACCCTTCTTACGCCATTGCCGTTATTGTAAGTATTAATTTTAAATTAATCCATAACATAAAATAAACGTGTCAAACGATCACATCCAATTATGTAATTTTAAAATAAGAAATTCTATAAATTATAAATACCAGGCTGTCAGAACTTTATATGTAATTAAATATAGTAAACTGCCTTCATCATTGAATCTTCACTTGCCTGAACAAAATTTCAAATTAAATGTCTATGGTCTTTCTTTTATTTAAAATGCTATGGTGTTTAGAAGAAAATAATCCTTATGGTTGAGACTTTCGATCAGTTTAGTAAAATAACTGGTGCTTGTTTTTTCACATTTAGCGAGTTCGATTCCCGGTCCAGACAGGCGATTGTTAAAAATCTAAATGAAGATTTCTTTCAGTAAAGTTTTCTATCTATGGCATTTAAGATACTTCGTGTGGCATAGCCGTGTGACGCCCAGCTTAATAATTATTAACTAACTTATCTTTTTTTTTTTAATTTAAGCCAGTACATTCGTTGCATGGAGAATTCAAATGCTTTATAGCAACAACTGCTTACTTTTTGGATACAAATAAAATCATTCCGACGACTTATGAAAAAGTGTGTGAGGCCAGACTTGAACTTATAGGTAAGTATAAAGCCATTAACTTGCAATTATAACTGTCCAGGGGGCCTGCTATGAGCTTATAAGCCAGCCAGCCAAGTTCCTTGCAATTCACTTGACGTGGTAGAACTAAATTGTTTAAATTCATATCGTGACCTAATTTAAGGCGTGACTTTTAATTTTGTCGTCCGACAAAATTACATTGAAATTGAAATTAATAAGGTGAGTTTGTAATTTGATATAATCTCAGTACAGAGTCCTTGAAATATCCCCTAGTTCGCCACTATACAGGACTTGACACTGGAGATAATGAAAATAGGTTCTCACTACGACACTACTCAAAGTATATTGAGAGAAAAACGCCTTGAATGGAAGAAATAGCAAAATCAACCACTAAAGTAATTGCTCCTAAATTAAAGTTAGGCGCTATTTATAAAAGTGAATCTTCATGTGTGAACAGCCACCCTTCGAGGTGGATGATTTTCTTCAAAATGAAATGGGACCACTATGGAAGTACCCCCTTTCCAACAAAAAAAGAATCATGAAAATCAGTTCACAAATACCGGAGTTATCGCGTAACATAAATACAAAAAAAAGAACATACAGTCGAATTGAGAACCTCCTTTTTTGAAGTCGGTTAAAAATAATTTGAACGTATCTTGTATTCGTACATTTTCATTGATTGCATTAAAGTCAAATTTGGCACTATTTAAAAGTTATTTTACGATTTTCTGTCTATAAAATTATTAAAATGATTAAAACTCTATTTAAAAATTGCAATAACATTCATGCCAATAATTTATCAACAATACTTTAAAGATTGGGAACTCGTACTAAAATTTTCAAAAAACGCTCAATAGTTAATGGTAATTATTTATCTTATAAAGATAACAAATAATTATGAAACTGAAAATATAATAAAACTTAAATGGAATTTCTTAAAAATGTAGCAAATTCTAAAAAAAGTTAGTCATGGAGTAACTTTTTTGAATTGCTTATTTTTACAGATGAGGCCATAGATACAGGAAAAAAGGGTAGATTATATAGTATAATGACGCTATGTAAGATCGGGTACCGATGTCGCCACTTTTTAGCTTGTGTGCAATTCAAACTTTACGCTCTATTGTTATAACTTAAAGATTTTGATATGGCAGGGCCTAAAACGTGAAAACGACGTAACACAATTTTAAAGTTTAACAAAATTAAACTTACAGTCACTTGAGTAAGAGTTATGTTAAAATATTTCAGTATTTTTTTCATCCTGGTTCAGTCATTCACCATCAGGTGGCGTTTTAGTAAAAATACTACTAGTATATAAAAGCTAACTATTACACGTTAGATGGCGCTGAAACTCATTTTCGTTACACTAAAAACTCACAAAGCGGGTTTCACCCGCGTCTGCCGCAGGACCGCGGCATCTGTAGAATGTAATATACTCCCGGACACATATATCGAGCCACTTTGCATTGTCAGTATTAAATGTCGTTAGCTTAAATAATGTTTGATTGATCAATAACTAATTCAAGTTTGAAACTGGTGTACTAAACATCATTTTCAAAAGGTTTTGTTGAAAATTTGAATTTGCGAAATCGGCAAAAACTCTTTCTTCTATGATAATAAAACAAATTTTATTCTGGCACTTGAAAAATAAAAATGCAAGATGGCTCGATTTATGTGTCCGGGAGTGTAGTTGAATATGTAAAATTAGTAGCACATTTCACGGCGCGTTTTACGCCTGTAGCGGTGACGGTTGCTCGCGGTTGCCGCGATGGGGTACTAGTAGAACCGCGCAGGACGCGATCACCTACGCGCTTGGTGGCCGTCGTCGCCCGCGCACTTAGGTGGTCGGTTCAGGCGCAATGTTAAACCGCGCGACTTGCGATTAACTCCCGCTAACTTCGCGGTCCTTTCCGCAATCGCAACGGTTTCGTGTCCGCAACCGCGGCGGCTACGTGCCCGCACAATCTTGCAGGGTCGTGAGTATTGAAATAAAACCGCTGTCTAGCAGCACCGGCGGGCGCGGATTGAAACCGCTCAGTGAATTGTTAACCTTATTAACCTTAAACTGACGCTACTCAACGAGGGATGTGGTTCTACCTAATCGATAGTTAGAAACCATGTGGCTGTTTTTAATATTACAAAAATATTTAATTTTTCATTATATACCTACACTGGTACTGGTGTATTATTAAATTAATATATTAATGTAAATTATTATTATTTTCTTAATGGCGGCCACTAGGCCGCCAAAAAATATGGCGATCGTCGCCAGTGTCAGTTTTCCATTATACTTTACCACGGGTTGGTGAAGCTGTCATTGTCAAGAGTAAACTCGAACCATCAACTAATTTAATAAATTAAATTATGTTGTTTTTTTTTAGGAAGGATTTATGTAATTTCCTATAATTGTTTCTAATTTATTTTGTATGCATGCACATGTAATATAAAGCCGATTTTGTTTTATTTATTTTTTAAATGCATTTGCTATGGAAATTTAAACAAAGTCAGAAATAGCAAGAAGAAAACCAATCTTTCGATTTTCCTGCAGCTTCAATCCAACCTACTTTTATTTTGAACTCATTAGAAAAACTAAATTAAAAATTAAAAATACTCTACGTTTAATCTACGAGTATAATGGAATTTAAATATAGTTAAGGAACAACCACCAACATGGCCAGATTCCATAGATAACGACACAGGAAAAAACTTAAGTACACTACGACGCCAGACGAAGATACCATTCTTTACAATACAAACCAGGCCTATCAAAGGAAATAACAGACATTTGCCAGACGCAACAGATAAACGCAC